CACCAGCGGGCGCGCTCTGCATGCCAGAGGAGAGAGCCAGGCAGGCAGGCAGGCAGGCAGGGCAATTCAGCCTCCTCTCTCTGTTTCCCTCTCCCTCCCTCTCTTTCTTCTCCTCCTTCTCCTCCTTCTTCTCTCTCCCTCTCTCGTCTCTCTCCACGCCAATCCATGAAAATGCTTTGGAAACTGACGGATAATATCAAGTATGAGGAATGTGAGGTAAGCGTTTTCCCGTGGCTGGGGCGCACTTCAGGCAAGATCGGGACCCACCCGTTTCTCCTCTCCGCTCTCCCAAATTCAGCTGCAGCTGGGAAGCACCTTGCAGTCGTTCGTCGGGACTGGTCTGGAAGGCAAACTTCCTCCGTGACCAGCCTTCTGGCTGGAGACGTCGAGCGAGGGGGGTCTCGCAGGGGGTGAGGAGGAAGCTGCCCAGCTGGGTGCGCGCGGAGCAAAATGAACCTGGGCCCCAATAGATCAGAAGGGGAGCGAAGAGCGAAAAGGGAAGGACGGGAAAGGGGGCGGAGGAACCAGGAAGCAAGAAACTGGGGCAGATGTGGAATGAATGAGCAGCATGAGTGAATGAACTCGGGGACGGGTGGGTGAGCGGGTGGGATGAGGAAGCTGGAGAAAAAGGAAACAGTTTTGAGTCTGCAAGAAGGATCGCCAAGACCTCGTACGGAGCCCTGCCCGGACTGTCGGTTAATCGGATGTTTTTGGTCCCGAGTGAGGTTTGGTCTCTCTGGTTTGGGCGAGCGTCATTTCAGCGCCAAGCGTTCCTGGTGGTGGTTGTGTTCTCCGCCTGGTTCTTCTCAATGAGTTGATGAGGGTTTGATGATAGCAGCATGGCTTTGAGCACGCCTTCCAAACTCAAAAGCCGCCTCGAAGGCGTTGCTATTGGGCGATGCTCCGGAACTCGGCTGGTGTGGAGGGGAGAGAGAGAGAGAATATGAGGTCTGCTGTATCGATGCCAAGGATCATATTTACTCGTCAGTTCTCTTCTGTTCAGCATGATATGATATTAGAGGCATCCTAGAGGACAAAGCACACAATTTTAAAGGTTTGTCAAAAGAGAAAGATAGGTGGATAGATAGAAAAAAAGATTTGATGGAGAACTAGATGGATGGACGGGGCTGCTAACATGAGAAAGAACAAGCTTAAGAAGCAAACGGATGTCCCAGTATTGTGTCTTTGCATAGCGGGCGATCCTATAAAACCTTTTTTAAAATACTCTCTCTTCCCCCCCCCCCGCATAGTTTGCAAAAAATGATGTTATTTTAAGCTGGATCTGCTTCCCCAGAACTCAGTTTTGCTGGTCTTTGTTTCCTGCTCCAGTCGATTCTCTTGGTGTGTACCACACGCACGCACGCACGCACATTTCCTCCGTTAAAGCCGCGAACGCGATGGAAACCGGCAACTGCCACTCCGGAAGATTAATTAAGAAAACAAACGCGGGTTGGCGTTGAGATTTATGACTCCTCTGGAGGGGCAAGTCTTTCTGCAAATGTCAGGAACACAGAGTTAAGATGGCTTGCAGAACGCACCTTCTTTTCAGGCAATCCAAGGAGCCGAAAAAGATGTGTCGTAAACCTCTTTCTCCCCCCCCCGCCACCCCCTCAATAATCGTTTTAGGGTGAAAATCGTTCGTTTCTCCAGAGTGCAAGACTAGTGCAGCTGTGGATTTTGTGTGTAGACGTCTTTTGTTGCTTGTTTTTTCCCCCCTTCTTTTTCTTTTTTGGCTCTTGCGGCTTCACATTCAGATGATAAACAAATAGTATATCTAGTGGTGAACTTCCCAAAGCCGGCTAGGGTGGTGTTTGAGGCGGGGGGGGGGGGATTTTATATTTTGGTCTTCATTTTCTGTAACAGAAGATCCCCTTTCCGTGACATCGCTAGTTGCAGAGGTCAGGCGACTGAGAACTTGAAACTAACTTAGAGCGTCTTGAAATCGACTAAGATTTCCTCGTTAGTTCTGGCATTGATTTGGGCGTACATCCCGAGGAGAGGAGTGGGATTTTCTTCCAAGTTAAATACTCACAAGTTTTCAGTGCTCCAGAGTGTGGAAGAAAAATCTCCTTCGTTTTTATCTCTTGGAGGTCTGACTATAGGACAGCTTTTTGAGATCTTGAAAACCAGTGAGTTTCCCTTGAACTGGTTTTGCTCCAGCGTTTGTTTGGTGAGATTCACTTTGGATGGCCGCCTAAATCGCCTACATTATTAGCATCTCCATCAACTTCGAGACTTTACATACATTATATCTCATAATCCCGTGTTCTTCTCGTTTTGGCTGAGAACACAGAATTTTTATATGGGGAGAGAAAAAGAACACCCACACATAGACACAGAAAGCTGAGAGAACTGTACAGAGAACCGGATCGCGAAGGTTTTGTGTGTCTGCGAGTGTTTTAATTTGGTTAGGTGTGCTCAGAGAGTTCTGCAGGGACATGCTCGGTCGGCGGCACAGCGCCTGTTGTTATGATAAACCGGCAGGGGAAAGTGGAGCATGCCTGTCATCTCGCAGGATTTGCTGGCTGCGAGTTGCCCAGCCAGTTGGACGGGTTGGGCCGACGCTGGGAGCCCAAGCTTGTCAGGGCCAGCAAAGCGCCAGTCGCCTCCCTTTCTTTCCTTTCTTCCCACCCACCCCCCCATTCTTCGCCACCCCTTTCCCCGATCCTCAACCCCAACGGGGTGAAAGGCTTCGCGGGGCTCCCGAGAAGCGGCAAGCAGCCCCGATTCCCTGGGGCCTGAACGCCACGGGAGGCGACGGGGATCTCACGCCCTGAACAGGGAAGGCCCCCTTCCCCTTCTCCTCCAGCCTGGGGCTCCGGCGAGGCCTTGCCGCCGCCAGGCCGCCGAGTGATGGACGTGACGCAGCAGGACGGCGCCGGAGCCGAACCGCCGGGTCCGGCCGAGCAAGGACAGCTGAAAGGCGGAGGAGCCGAGCCCGGCCCAGAGAGCTCCTCCTCGGCGGCGAAGAGGGGAACCGGTGCCCAGCAGCTGCTGGCCCTTGCCTTCCAAGAGCCGGCCTTCGCCCAGCCCCAGCCGCCTCCCC